TCTGTATCTGTTCCTAAGACTACAGGTGAGGCGTTATAACATTCTGGTTGGTGACAGGCCATGATTGATAAGATGAGTGCACTTCAAAGTAGTGGTACCTGGGATCTGGTTCCCCTTCCCTCTGGGAAGTCTATTGTTGGCTGTCGATGGATATACACGGTTAAAGTTGGTCCGGATGGTCAGGTGGACCGTCTTAAGGCCCGCTTGGTGGCTAAAGGTTATACTCAGATATTTGGCCTTGACTATGGTGACACATTTTCTCCCGTGGCGAAAATGACTTCTGTTCGCCTCTTTATTACTATAGCAGCTATTCATCACTGGACTATGTATCAGCTGGACATAAAGAATGCTTTCCTCCATGGTGATCTGCGGGAAGAGGTTTATATGGAGCAACCTCCTGGGTTTGTTGCTCAGGGGGAGTCTAACCTAGTTTGTCGTCTCCAAAGATCCTTGTATGGTCTAAAGCAGTCTCCCCGGGCTTGGTTTGGAAGGTTTAGCACTGTTGTATAGCAGTTTGGCATGACTCGAAGTGAGGCTGATCACTCAGTCTTTTACAGACACTCTGATTCAGGTTCTATTTATTTGGTAGTATATGTTGATGATATCGTCATTACAGGTAATGATACTCATGGCATAACTCAGATAAAACAACATTTGTGCCATCATTTTCAAACAAAGGACCTTGGAAGACTCCGATATTTCTTAGGGATAGAAGTGGCTCAATCCAAAAATGGCATTGTACTATCACAGAGAAAATATGCTATGGATATTCTTGAGGAAACAACATTGTTAAATGCTAAGCCCGTTGATACTCCTATGGATCCAAATGTCAAGCTTTTACCAAATCAGGGGGAGCTATTTTCTGATCCAGAAAGGTATAGAAGATTGGTTGGGAAACTGAACTATCTCACAGTTACTCGACCAGACATTTCCTTTGCAGTCAGTGTAGTAAGTCAGTTCTTGAATTCTCCCTGTGAAGATCACTAGAATGCAGTAATCTGTATCCTCAAGTACATCAAGACTGCTCCTGGCAAAGGTCTTCTCTATGAAAACAAAGGTCATACCAGAGTTGTAGGATACTCAGATGCTGATTGGGCAGGTTCTCCTATTGATAGAAGATCCACTTCTGGGTATTGTGTATTCGTTGGAGATAACTTGATTTCCTAGAGAAGTAAGAAGCAAAGTGTAGTTGCTAGATCAAGTGCTGAAGCAGAATATCGCTCCATGGCCACAGCTACCTGTGAACTCATCTGGTTAAAACAGCTACTGAAGGAACTCAAGTTTGGAGACACTGGCCCAACATCTCTCATTTGTGATAATCAAGCTGCTTTGCATATTGCTTCAAATCTAGTGTTTCATGAAAGGACTAAGCACATTGAGATAGATTGTCATTTCCTTAGGGAAAAAGTTCTCTCAGGAGATATAGTCACTCGTTTTGTCAACTCAAATGATCAATTAGCTGATGTATTTACTAAATCTTTGAGAGGACCTAGAATAGACCAGATATGTAACAAGCTTGGTGCATACGATCTATATGCTCCAGCTTGAGGGGGAGTGTTGCTGCACATAGTATAGAAGTCCCACATTGAGTGTACATAGTATAGAAGTCCCACATTGAGTGTGTCTCTTTGTATTCTTCAATTGGTTTGCTATATAATAGCACCAATGTTGTGTAGTTCAACATAACAAGAATTACAATGAATACCTCTTGTCTCTTGATAATTAACAGTGTTTATACTAAATAGGAACCTTAAAACAAGGAAACAAATCATGGAAAAAATAAATAGGGAAACCAATCATATAAGATACCCTTTAAATAATTTAAACTATTTTAATAATAATCTTAACGATATATGATATCTTCTAAATATTCTAACATTTTTATTAGCCTAATTAAATTTTACAATTATAGTGTGGAGCTTAATCACACAATTCATAGTCCAAAGCTTAATCCCCCAAGAAACATGACTCTTAACAGCTCTGAAAATTTCTGCTACATATCTTAGTTTGAATTGATCCAAAATATTAACTATCAAAGAGTGTGAGAAAGAGTTTTAGGCCATTCCATATTGGAGCTGAGGGATCATGGATACAGCAGAAATGATGTCTAAGCTCGACATTAGAGCTATGGTCTTGTTCCTATGGTTGTTTGTCCTCTCAGTGGGAAAAGACTTGCAGAGCTATGAGAGAACATCCCCACATTCTACCTTTGCAATAAAAATGAGTCACTTGGGAATCAACCATCACTTAATTGCAGAAGCAAATGGTTTCTCTGAAGTGTCAGGCAAGGTCCAGGGAGGATCCCGTGGCGGGGACCATCACCAATGGGCTAAGTGGATCAAATACACTAAGTGGGTCCGATACCACATCTAAACCCAAAACCTTAAGGCATTGGGTTTATGGGTCTTTCCACTTATATACTTTTTACTTAACTCATTACCATCCGAGTACACCTCCAGGGCCCAAGTACTCAACCCGCCTCCTAGCCAATCACCAAGCTAGCTCGAGCACTACCCGGTTCTGATACCACAGTCAGGCTGGTTTAGGGAGGAGCCCGTGGCGAGGATCACCACTAATGGGCTAAGTGGATCAAATACACTAAGTGGGTCCGATACCACATCTCAACCCAAAACCTTAAGGCAATGGATTTATAGGTCCTTCCACTTATATACTTTTCACTTAACTCACTACCAACCAATGTGGAACTCGTAACACTTGAATATCTCAACATGAAGAAACTAAGTTTTTCTACCAAGATCAACCTCTTTTGATTCCAATTGATTGCAAATGCAAAGGTGGTATCTTTGAGGCTGAATTAACCAAAACTTGTATCAAAGGGGAGAGCTTTTATGGTATTGTTCAATCACTTAAGGGCTTGACAACTTTCAAGGCTATCCTGCAAAAGAACCCTGGTGTGTCACCATGGAATCTTGATAAAGTTATATTGATGATCCCATTGAGATGTGCCTGGCCATTTTCATCAAAGGTCATCCCAAAACCAAGACTTGTGCTTTCTTATGCAGTAAGAGAAGGTGATAAAATTTCCAATTTGACTTAAAAGTTCAATATTACAATAGAAGCTATTGCTTTTGCAAATCACATATCACCTGAATTCTTTATACCTGAAATGCTTACACCCTTTACCTCTCTTCTGATTCCACTCAATGGGAAGCCTATTCTTGATTCTTTGCCTAAACCCCATGAATCCAATTCAAGTTGTTTTCCATCAACAAGCATCCCGGTAATAAGTCCACAAAAGAAGTCAAATATGTGGAAGACTGAATTCTGCATTGGGGTGGTTGTGGTTGCTGTTGTATTCTGCATTGTTTTTGTAGCAGTTTTCTCTTATGCCAGATTGAAGAATAAGAAGAAGGAAGAGAATTCATGTAGAGGGAGTGATGTGGAGCTACAGCATCACAATTCTACTATAAGAACAACCAATGGCAACAAAGTTTCATTTGAAGGATCTCAGGTCACTACTCTTGATGGAAAAATTATTGATATCACAATGTTGCTGGAGTCGTACACTGTTGAAGATATGAATAAAGCAACTGAGAACTTCAATTCCAGCAATCACATTGAGGGTTCTGTCTATTATGGTCATCTATATGGGAAGAACATAGCAATAAAATGTACAAAGACAGAGATGGTGTCAAAGATAGATTTTGATCGATTCAATGATGCACTTGATCATCATCCCAACATACTTAGACTTCTGGGAACATGCTTCATAAAGGGTCCACAATCATTTTTGGTCTTTGAGTATGTAAAAATGGATCTTTGAAAGATTGGCTTCATGGTGGCTTGGGCATCAATAACCAGTTCATTGCTTCCTGCTATTGCTTCTTGACATGGGGCCAGAGGCTTAGGATATGTCTTGATGTAGCCAAAGCCTTGCATTATATGCATCATGTTATGAAACCAAGCTATGTGCATAGAAATGTAAAGAGCAGGAACATCTTTTTAGATGAAGAGTTTGGTGCAAAGATAGGCAATTTTGGGATGGCAAGGAGTGTTGAGAATGACACTGAGGACCCACATTCCTATTCAACCAACACTGAATCTTGGAGTCTGTGTTATTTGGCACCTGAATACATGCAACGAGGTACAGTTTCCCCAAAGGTTGATATGTTTGCTTTTGGGGTGGTTTTGTTGGAAGTTTTGTCTGGCCAAAGACCTATAAGTATGCCTAATGATAAGGGGGAAGGAAGTGTTTGGCTTATAGATAAAATAAAGTCCATTTTGAAGTCAGAAAATCATGAGAATGAACCAAGGGAGTGGATGGATAGTACATTAGGTGAAGACTATTCATTTGATGCAGCTGTGACTTTGGCCAATATTGCTAGTGCTTGTGTGGAGGAAGATTTTTCTTTGAGACCAAGTGCTGGGGAAGTTGTTGAGAAGCAATCAAGATTGGTGGAGAAATTAACAGAAGAAGAGCAACACATATTGGTCTGTGAAAGCTCATGCAAACATTTGGTGAAGGTAGTAAGTACAAAACACTAAATAATCCAGTGAATGACCCAAACAAGGTATAACCATCATCCTAGTTTCTGGTAACTAAGTTCAACATATTTGGTCCTTGGCTCTTGCTATGAAGTAATTGGCTCACTTTTTTTGGTTATTAAAATAAAACATCCTTGCTATGTTAATTTTTCAATCTTATTTTCCAAAGTCATAATTTTTATGTTTATTTGGTATGGACAAGAATAAAATGACCAGACTACTTTATTTTATTTATGTTTGATACTCTAATTGATAAAAAAAAAAAAAGTAATGAGTATAATTTATACAATACTCCAAAGAATAATGAATAAGAGAGAGAAGGAAAGCCAGAAAAGAGAAGCAATAAAACTGTAGAGATGATCAAATAGTCTCTCCTAATATCAAACTACATTAAAAAACCTGCCAAGAAAAAATTTAAGTACATATTAAACTTTATGTTATATACCAAATACATAAACAAACTAGTAAACAAGACTCTAGGAAATTAAGGGACGTTACAGCATCATGACCTTAAATTCATCAAAATTGAGTACCCCATCTCCATCAAGATCAAATCTAGCTATCATAGCTTGACACTCTTCTAGACTCTTACACTCACCCAATTTCCCAAGCATCCTTTTGAGACTCTTTGGTGTGATACAACCACACCCTTCCATTTCATACATCTTAAAAGCCTCTCTTAGGTCATTCACTATCTCTTCCTCTTTCCCTCCCTCCACAAACCTCACAAAATCATCCAACCCCACCAACCCATCCTCATCCAAGTCCAGAAGCTCCACCGCGGCCTCTGCCTCCTCGGGCGACAACTTGCCCCCGATCGCCACTACGCATTGCCGCAACTCCGACGGTGATATCCTGCCATCTCCATTTTCATCAAAGTGATTGAACACACGCACATACTGAGTCACCTTGTCCATAGTCTATATATGTATATATGTATAAGTTATATAACTCTAATTATGCAACTAAATGGCATATATATAAGAATATAGATGAAGAGGTACATATATATAATAGGGATGATGGGGTTGACCCATTGACTTGCATGACCGGGTGTGAGAGTGCAACACCGTCTATGGACTTGTATTATCGTCATGCATGGGGCACTTTGAAGCCGTCAAAGATTGTTGTGCCACACAAACATGTTACATGAGTTGACATTCAAAGTGAGAACACTGACGAAAAACAGTAATCGAAGTTGACTATGTAAATTTTAACATTACCAACCCACTCGGATTCTTTCAAAAATACAAAAAATTAAAAGACAATCCACTAAGTCGAAATTTCTAGAAAATAAGCAGACCATTTGTAACGTAAAAGATAAAAAAAAATAAAGTATATTTTTTGAGTGAGTAAGTAAGGATATATTTACCATTCTAAGATCGTGATTTATTTTAAATGAAATAAGGAAAAGATATACACTTATTTGCTTATATTAGAGACCGCGATTGTGGCTTTTTGACCCTTTTGCCCCTCATTAATTAATTAATAGCCAATTTGTCCCTGATCAAGAACTATCCACCAACCTGCCCCCTTTTAGTCGACTACCTTGCTGTTTTAGTCGAGCAAATGGTCAATCTTCAGAAAGTGGACTACCGCAAATTTAGTCGACTAAAAAATCATCTTAATCGACTACATTTTTGGGATATTTAGTCGACTAAGTATCGATATTTAGTCGACTAAATGTCGACTGAAACCCTATATTTTCCATGTTTTCGGTCTCATTTCGATTGTTGTTGTTGTGTAAACCTAAATAGCTCCCTTTGTTCATGTGTAATCCTCTCAATCCGATTGTATTTCATCCCACCATCTCTACAGACCTAATATTGTGAAATCATTGTCATTGCCCAATTCCAAACCCCAAAATCTGAACCCAAACCCCCAATTTCAGAACCCAAGTCCCAATTTCGTGAGGAAGATGAGCACAAGTCCAAACATGTATGTGACAATGATCTACTATGATGGAAAGCATTATGAAGGCCCCAATGGTGTTCAATTTGAAGGAAAAACGAAAATGTTGAAAATCAAACGGGGCACTACATACAATGAGTTAAAGGAGAGAATTCAGCAAAAATTGGGTTTGCAAGGCAGCCAATGCGTTCAACGGATGATTGCCAGGGTAGAGACAACAGTTGGTAAGGATGCTATTTACTACATTGGTAACGATATATGTGATGATGAAGATGTCGAATGTGTCATTGATGCAATTGTTGACCGAAAATTTCAAAATTTTATTGAGATATATGTTGAATTAGATTGTGGTCAATCTTCATCTGCACCCATGCATACAAGAAGTGAACCGTATTTTGGTCATGAAGAAAGAGTAGTCAATTTATCTGCACCTGCACATGTCATAAGTCAGATAACACTGCGGGAAATAGATGAGGATGAACAGGATGCCGATATGGACATCGATGAGGACGGTGAACCTGAGAGTGTTATTCCACTAGGTGACACGTCAGATACTGACGTAGAGGGTGATTTCGACGCTGACACAAGCTCACCATCCCCGGGTTCGCAGGTTACGAGACCACTTCGTGTTGACCCTGTTAGCAGTGGTAAGATTTATTTTTTAAAGATTTAATTTAGCAATTATTTTTTTTGTTATGAATGGTATTGACGATGGCATTATAATGCATCCGTAGGTTCTGAGGTCGAGCCATTTTGGAATGAAAGCTCACATTATACCTTCATTAATTGGGCCCACCCTAATGATGAGACGAAGATATTGTATGGTGACGATGATGATCACGGTGGCTGGCAATTAGGGGATCCTTTATATTTGTATCAGGAGTTTCGTAGCAAATCTGAAATGCAACATGCAGTCAAATTATATTGTATGAAGGCTCACCGTACTGCCGTTGTGGCAAAAAGTGATGACCATAGATTTGTGATGAAGTGTCGACACCATAATGATGGATGTCCCTGGTATGTGAGGGCATTGTTGCCGAAGAATGGAAATACTTGGGTGGTTAGTAAATGGGTTAAAGAACACACCTGCCTAAACCAAGGTCTTACCCGGGATCATAGACAGTTGGATTCTGATGTGATATGTGCAACCATTATCAGTATGTATTATTCGATATATCTAACTTCCTAAGGTATGTTAACGTTAATCAGTTTGTATTCTGACTGTTGGCCGGTGTTTTTTTTTTATATAGGTATGTTAAAGGAAGATCCATCATTGAAGCCAGTTCTTATTCAAGAGAGGGTACAACGTTTGTATGGATACAACATATCTTACAGGAAAGCTTGGAAGGCTAAAATGAAAGCCATTGTCAAGTTATTTGGCGACTGGGATAAATCGTATGCATTCTTGCCTGGTTGGCTGACATACATGACGCATGTTAATGTGGGTTCTGTGTTCAAGATTGATACGGACCAATGTGTTGATGAACGTCGAGTGTATACGGATAAGGCTGTCTTTCACCGAGTATTTTGGACCTTTCACCAGTGCATTGAGGCCTTCAAATATTGTAAACCCATAATCCAAATTGATGGCACGCATGGAGATGGTTACATTCTCCCTATTGCATTTGCTATTGTTCCTCCTGGTGAGAGATTGGATGATTGGTCGTGGTTTCTTAGCCTCATGCATTTTCACGTCACGCATAAGCATGACATTTGTCTAATATCCGATCGTCATCCCAGCATCATCAGGGCTGTAAGAGATCATGCCGGTTGGCAGCCACCATTTGCGTATCATGTGTTTTGTCTACGCCACATCGGAAGAAACTTTAACACTAAGTTCAGAGATGTGGAATTAAAGAAAACCCTGATGAAGCTAGGTACAATCTTCTTTTTAATATGTACAAATTGTATATAATTCATCCTTTTGTATCTAACGCATCATTTTGTATTTCAGGGTACTTGAGTTCAAAGATTCATTTTGATATCAGATTCCAGGATTTTATCGACAGTAACCCTCAAGTAGCTTCATGGATAGATCAGATTCCCAAAGAAAAATGGTGCAGGTCTTACGATGAGGACGGTCGGAGGTTTGGTCACATGACGACTAACTTATCTGAGTGTGTGAATAAGGTCCTGAGGGGTGCACGTAATTTGCCTATAACAGCATTGGTGAAGATGACTCAAAGTAGACTTGTTGAGTATTTCGTCAAGAGACGTGAAAAGATCCAAAAGGCAAAGGCAAAGGGTTGGAGAATTGCAAAAAAAGTTGAGGATATCATCCAAAAAAATGATCAATTAACAGTGAGCCTCCGTGTGCGGGTTTTTGATAGGGACCTGCAGCTATTTGAAGTTGAGGATGCCTACAATCAATCAACTCATGATGCAGGTGACATAATGAGGGTGGACTTGCTCAATCGCAAATGTCAATGTGGACGGTTCACATCTAGAAGATTTCCTTGCAGTCACGTCTTAGCGGTGTGCAAGGTAGAAAAGTTGAACCACTATGATTATGTTGATCCTGTGTTCTCAATTGCACAAATTGATAAGGTATATGCTGCTCATTGGTATCCAATGGACAATGAGTTGTTGATTCCACAAATTGATGGCCCAACCATTATCCCAAATGCATCTTTGGTACGTGCACAAGGAAGACCCAAATCGTCAAGGATACAGAATGAGATGGATTGGGTTAAGTCTCAACCGACAAGCAGTCAGAGTAGATGTAGCCTGTGTAAGGAAATTGGTCACAACAAACGTACATGTCCTATGAGGATTCCCAATACAAGATGAATCGCGGAGGAAGCAGGGGAAGGGCTTAATGTTTTGATGGTTTAACATTATAGGCATTTATGGTTTTATATGCTTGTATTTGATGTCATGATGTTTGTATTTGAATGTAATGACGGTGCTATGTTTGTATTTGATCTCATGATGTTTGTATTTGAATGTAATGACGGTGCTATGTTTGTATTTGATGTCATGATGTTTGTATTTGAATGTAATGACGGTGCTATGTTTGTATTTGATGTCATGATATTTGTATTTGACTCATCTTAGTTTTTTGACTCGGAAATTATGCTCCCTAAGTCACACTCCCTTAGTGGATCAGTGTAGAGTGGAAACCTAGGGCAAAAAACATGTGTAATTCGGATTTGGGGTCCTAAACCAACAATTTAGTCGATTAACCTGTACTGGTTTAGTCGACTAGGTTAGTCAACTAGGTTAGTCGACTAAACCAGTACAGGTTAATCGACTAAATTGTTGGTTTAGGACCCCAAATCCGAATTACACATGTTTTTTGCCCTAGGTCTCCACTCTACACTGATCCACTAAGGGAGTGTGACTTAGGGAGCATAATTTCCGAGTCAAAAAACCCATGTGGACATTAAATTTCTAAAACCAAGTCGTATGTTGTCATAACGTTTGTTTACGGTTAACAATACAAGATGTAGCCTTTTTAAACACATGTACTGATTTGCTGTGATGTGTTATGGACGAATGTGACCTGTTCAATATTGTTTTGTGCCGTGATGATCAAATTGCTAAAAAGGTTCCATTCATAAGTTATACAATATTGAAATGGAATTAAATTCATTACACAACATAACATAGATCCAAAAAACATAACAATTCTGCATTCATTAAAAAAAGTTACATTACATCAACGACTTAAAGGAAATACATGAACAAAACATAATAACATGATGTACACCCTAAATCTACTCGTCATCCCCGTCCGTGTCCGTCTCCGAGTTGTCCTCATCTGACACATGACCCCCATCCCCTGCTGCCTCAGCTACCTGACCACCTCTTGCAAGCTCCAGACGAGCAAGCCTGTCTTCCACACCCTTAAACCTTCCATGTATGTGTCTAAACCTTTCATTCCCTTTCTTTCTCCATTTTTTATGTGCCAGCGCCATCTTTCCTATCTTCTTTGTCATTGCATTTATGCCCTTCATGACATCACGCAGTGAAAATCCACCTTCAGGTTCAGCTATCTCCTCAACCTCAGCCACATCCTCCT